AATTGTCCTAATGGATTTCCACCTGGAAAACACTCCAATGATTCACTTTTGTACGCAATGTATATAGAAAATATGCTTTCTTTGAGAAAATGGTGAGTTTCTAAAGCGTGTGGCTTTGAAATTGTGTTGTTGCGATCGAGTAAAGAAAATTGACAAAGAAATATTGTGACTGAAAAATAAATAAGTAAAGAATAAAAGAAAATTATTTAATTTCTTTACGAGATGGACTTTCTCGGCCATTTCTTCTATCATTATTCATTAGTAAAAATCCAAATGATAGATTTATTTTATTGGAAAGAACAGTTTTGTTTAAGATGATGTCAAGACGACAGAAAGCGGACCTTATACATCAAAGTCGGTCGAGCAAAGGCCTTTCTCGTGCCATAACCTTCAAAATTGCTAAAATGTCACCATCTTTGCCATGAGACATTGAAAATTTGCCAATTTCAACTCAATTATGATAAGTTTGCACTAATCATTCAAATAACTAAAGTCAGAAAAAGACGTATCGAAAGGTGGCGTTCATTTGTATCCATTAAGGGCCTGTTTGTTATTGAGGATAGCAAGAGACGAAGGGTTTATCACAAGGCAATCACTCGTTTGTTAGCACGGACTTGGCCCAGCTTGTGTCTCAGTCGGTTGTTGGGCCGATTTTTTTCATATATTTGGGGTGTGATTATTATTTAGCCAATTTATATGTAGCCCGTGCGATGCACGAGACAATTGTTATAAATTGTATGTATGAAAATCATGGAAGAATATTGATTAGTATAACACTACAAAAATATGTTATATTCAAATGAAAAATCCTACGATACTACATTCCAACGGATATTCTAATGGTATAGATTCCGTTGGAATCATTCCAACGGAAATTCCAACGAAAATATTGCGTTGGAATGAGTTTTCCATTGGAATTTTGATGAAATTTCATGATTCCAACGGTTTTTTACCGTAGGAATTTTCATTGGAATTTTTATTTCCACCTCCGTTGGAAAATCTATCGTAGAATCTTCAAAATCCAACGAAAATTTCAATGAAAAACTCATTCCAACGGAATATTTTTGTTGGAATTTCTGTTGGAATTCCATTAAAATATATTTGTATTGGAACGTTCCGTTGAAATTTGATCATTTTGTTGTAGTGTAATAATAGTTTTGAATATTAATATTTTTTATTTTATTTTATGTACATAATAATTTAACACATGATTTATATGTTTATAAAACAACTGTCATTTTAGAGTTCCTATTTGGAATTAAGGATAATGACAATTTAACATATTCAAACATTATCAATAAATAATACGCACTGAATACTTCTCTCTCTGTATTCTCTTACTCATATAGTATTACAATATTTGAATTCTAATATAAGTTATGCTAAAATTATGGCAAATATTATAATCCAAAATTAATTGAAAAGTTTGTAATATATATTATTTTTAAGTTAAAAACTTTAATAATTATAGTTACACCAATATTATTTTATTTTGTTTTTTGCAATTTATAATGACGTATTTTATAAGTATTTTAGATCTTCTTTCTAATCTAATAACTTATATGAA